GAGGATCCTACCTCCAGGGTAAGGTGGCATTCCTCCAGCCTGGGGAGCTCCAGGGTAGCCCCCTGGAGCAGGATATCCTGCCCCTGGAAACCCAGCATTAGGTGGTGCTGCGGGATAGGTCCCTCCTCCTGCCGGAGGGTATCCTCCAGGAACAGCAGGATAGGTGTACTGACCAGCTGGCGGATAGACGGACTCTTGTCCTGTCGGCTGAAACACAAAAATGGGATGTCTGTATCCCTATTAACAGGACCTTAGAGTAAAAACTCCCAAGCTACCAAACTGTCCAATTGTATAATAACAACACAAATTGTTTAATTAGATCAGCACTTGAAGCAGCAGCAGAATTCCTGAAGCCTGGATGGGCTCCTCCTGGTTGGGTTTTCTGATGCATCTCCCGTGCTGACACCAAATTAGAGAGACCTCTGGATGGCCTGTGATTCCATCTTCAAAGCAGGGCCAGCTTTGGAGTTGAATGAGGTCATGCAAGGCCTGATTGTCAAGCTTTCAGTATCTCCAAAGAAAAGCAAACTCACAGACTCCTGGGGTCCCTGTTCTAGTGTTTGACTACTCTCATAGTGAAAAGCCTTCCTCCCCGAGGACCCACAGTGCTGAGCCACACTGGACTTACCAGCTGTCAGTACCTACTGGAAATCTGCTCCTTCTATCCCGCATAAGGAACAGGTGAGCTCAGCTTGGCTTGCTCTCAGTGAATCATTAGGAACTCACCTCCTGTTACAGGACTTTAAAGAGCTTAGAACCTTGAAAACTTCTACCTCTATTGCACAAACAGTGTTTTCATATGTTACAGGGTGAGAACTTACAAGAGGTGTTGGGGTTTTTCTTTGGAATCCAGGTTATAAAGCAAGGACATTCAGTGACTAAATCTGGACCACTGACTCAAGACTGAACACCTATTACATGTTTTAAATAAAAAGAACAAGTCAAATATCTGTATGCCTTTGTTTTGCTACATGTATGATTTACCAGCCATACCACAAAGGCTGCTATTAGCATTAACATCATTGGAAATATTTACTTAAATTACCTGGATCTCTAAGGAAACTCCTGTAAGGTAAATGTCATATAGTTTATCTTAGAAATCATGTATTTAAATCAGCTTCATAATGAAGCATGATGTATGGACTCATTAGTCACTTGCTGAGAATCATCTTTACTGATCACTTTTAGAAATACAGGTCGCACATAACATATAGTACACATTCATCTTGACCTCAGAAAACAGAAATAAAATGCAGACAGTAAAGCCTAGCTCAAATGTTCTCCTTGGGTTTGGCTGCCCCAAGATTTCTACCCCTAAATTACTGTGTCCAGGCTATATAATATTCTTTTCCCCAGAGGTACACTCTGGCATTTCTCTGCCAGGCAAAAGATTTTAATGGAATTTAGATTCACAATTCCAAAATTAGGATCCTCAAAAGCCCTGCTCAGATAACTATCTACAAAAGAAAATTTCACATTTTTTTTAACTGACTATCACTTTGAGCATCACCAGTGAGACTAGGAGATCTAGAATTGTTGATACCAAATATAAGAGGTCTTTTAAATTAATCCATTGAAATTGGTTGTTTTAGACACTAGCTAAGGAAAAAAATATTTTCAGATGTAGTTAAAAATAACCTACAGCTACTGTCATGAAGGTTCAGCAGAACCTTGAGGGGAGAAGAGAAATCCTGGAGTTAATAGTGTCTCATTTCTAACATGTTTGTCTTTAGTTTGATTGATTTTAGTGTTTCAGAGGGAGTAAGGGTAAATTGTAAAGCAAAACCATCACAGAATTTATTGCATGTATTTATATGCATATATTTATATATTGCATGTATTTATAGCTTTTCAGTATTTTAATGGCATGCAGGCTGAGCTCCATGGTTAAATCTAGTTCTATACTACATAAAACACAAGTAATATTCACACAATTACAGGGCCATGGAAGTGCCATGAGTGCCATGATCAGTGTCATAAAAGCACACAGATGAATCCAGCTTTAAAAAGTGATGCAGGCATATCAAAAACACTGCAGTATCAGCCACAGCATCAGCTGATACGTTTCAGCCTTCCATTAAGTTTCATTTAAATTTTTAGTCCATTCCATTGTGAGCTGAGAGTGAAACAGTCCTGTGGCTAATAGATAGGGGGTCTAAGCCAAGATACAGTGTCCTCTATCCTCAGAAAAAAAAAATTTACTTGGTGTCATATGAAAGCTGGGCTGCTTGAGTAAAGTTCTTCCTGAGGGCTATGACTACTGAAGTTTGTTTGGCGTTTGGGATACGGATAAGCAAGTATTTGGTTGAGACTGGTTCAGAGATTACTTCTGACCCTGTATGTAAAGACCCTCATATTTATAGAAGAAGCTCAAAAAAAAAAAAAAAAAAAAAAAAAAAAAAAAAAAAAAAAAAAAAAAAAAAAAAAAAAAAAAAAAAAAAAAACACCACCCACCAAACTCATCAGAAAAAGATAAGATAAGATCAAATAATCAAAAATCTTTCTAGAATAGTCGTAATTAAAAAACCACAAAACTTCCTTCTTGGAATTTTTATGAGACAGCTATAAAATCATCCTCAGGGAGGCACAGATGAAAACAAAGACCGTAATCTCTCCAGAACATTGTATATGAACTGACAGCTAGTATTTACACTCACACAGAGCACAGCAAGAAGGGGTATTCACAGACTATAAATACATTAAGAATGAAACACATTCAAGAGCCATACTTACAGGATAACCAGGGAAAGCAGGGTAGCCATCAGAAGGGGGATAACCTGGGTATGACATTCTGGGAGAAAAAAAAAAAAAAAAGGTATTTTCACTGTGAAGGCACTATATATGTTTGTAGTAGGTATTTCCTTGCTAATTACCTGTTCAATCACTTGAACAGTATGTTTAGTAGGTTTAGAATTGCTTGTACTTGTTAGCTATTAACCCACAAATCTTTTCCTTTTTTTTATACATCTGACCACAGGTATCAGAATTCAGAAGGGAAGCATCTTCAACTCTGTAATTAACTACCACACTTATTTAGGGTCAGATAGACACTGAAGCATGGTAAGAGGCCTGAAACTCCAGAAAGAACTCTGAAATACAGAATAGAGTTTGAGATGCCAGCAGGAAGCTGAGCCCTTTGCCAGGACTGAAACAGTGCAAATTCCAGTCCTGCACTGCACCAGGCACCTGTCTCCCATCACCCTGCACTCCTCTGCTCACAAGGGTAGTTCCTGAGAGAAGAGCAGGACTCCATCTATCCCATGGAAAATGGTAATTTGACAGGAATAGGTGTAATCCCTCAGCATTTCTTCATTTGTGTAGCAGATTTCTGTTTCCTGCCAGTAGCTGTTTATTTTAGTCTTATTTTTAAAAGAGGGACTTGGGGAATAGGGACAGAGATCATCCCCCATTGTTGCCAACCAGTTGGGCAGGGAGATTCAAGACCATTAGCCAGTTTATGAAACATATAACGGTGGGAAAAAAAAATCATGTTAATGCTAACCAGACAGATTCCCTGATCAGGGCCTGGGGGTTACTTATGGTGTGTTTCTAAGACAGTGTGCACCTTAAATGCACAAATCAGAGGACATGGCACATATAAAACTGAATGCAATAGAGCAAATGATTATTCACATTTCTAGGTATTCATCAGCCAAAATTAATTTGAAAGCAGAATTCTTACTGCACTGGGCCATTAAGAGAGTAGGTGGACATAGAACTAAACATGTGAGACTTCATGTGGAAAACCTTAAAACTTTGCATAGAATTCTCTTCTGTTTTCAGAAGAGCCAAAACCAACTTGCAGAGAAGCACTGCTGCTCCATCTCACGCTGATGCGCTTGGATCACTTCCAAATAAATAAAAGGGAAAAACAACATGAGGTGTATTTGCAAATCTACACATTATCATAACCACTGCTAATGGCGATTTATTTCCCTAAGGAACACCTTAAACCAGTACCTGTACAGTATTTATTACTGACAGCTGCTTAAATGGATTTTTAATTTGGCGCAAGCATCCTCATGCAGGACAGAGCCTCTGACGTGACTACTTTTACAAGCAAAGCAACAACACATTTTCCCGTCAGATTGCAGTTTCCCTCGCTGTCCCCGGACGGGCACAGGGCGGGTTAAGCCGGGAGTCCGAGAGTGAGTCGGCTGCGGCGCCGGCCAAGAGCACCCGCCCGTTCTCTGCGGGCTGAAATGGAAATCCGAGGAGAGGATCTCTCTTGAGGGGGGACAGATGTGGCTCTGACTGTGGCACCTCAGCGGACGCGCAGCGCTCGGAGTGTTGTGCAGAGCTCGGCAGGTAAACACCGACACATCTCCCGACCCCGCCCGCAACCCCCGCGCCCCGCCCGCCCCGCCGGGCCCCGCTCTGCCCGCGGCCGAGCTCCATCGGGCATCGCCGCGGGCTCCCCCGCGCCCTCAGCCGCCAGCCCCGGGCCGGCTGAGCCCTTGGGCGAGCCGCAGCTGCGGGCGGGGCAGGTATCCCGGTATCCCACTGCCTGTTCTCCCGAGGTGACCAGACCTGGTCCCCCTCCAGCGGGAGGGCAGCCCCCGCCGCGGGTGCGGCTCCCTGGGGCGGGCGGCGCCTCCCTCGGCCGGGCATCGGCGAGCCCTGAGCGGGGGCGGCCGCGGCTCCGAGAGCGCTGCCCGGGCTCCATCCAGCTCGGGCGGGGCAAAGCGCAGCGAGGCTGGAGTCGAGCCCCCCGGGGCCGTGTGTGAGCAGAGCCGGGGCTGGGGACGAGCCCCCCAGGGCGGTGTGACAGACCCTGCCGGGCCGGGGCCTGGGGCGAGGTGCGCACGGGTCTGGGCCCACAGCTCCTCCCCCCCCCCCCCCCCCCCACACCGCCTCACCTGAGGGGAACCTGCGGAACCTCCGGCCTCTCTCCGCAGCCACACCGCAAAATGGAGCCTGTGCGGCCGGCGGTGCCCGCCCCGCCCCCGGCACCGAGCCCGCCCCGGCCCGGCCCACGGGCCCCGCTCCCCACGGACCCGGCGGCCGCGCCCGGTGTTGGCGGTGACGGTGCTTTGCTGCCTGTGCAGGCTCGTCCCGTCTCGCTGAAGGAAAGCTACCGTGTGCCCAATTCTCCCGCAGGACGGATGAGAGGTAAGTTCGCAGGCGCAAGTGCCACAAGTTTCCAGGCGCCAGTGGAGCTGTGTCAGGGAAGCATTCACACGGGAAGCGCCCGGGAGTCCTGTGCCACCTGCTAGGAAAGCAGGGAGAAGTCCACCCTGCAGCTTTCCTGTAGCACTTATGTTCAGCCCTAATGCATGTACCTCTAAATCGAGTCTGTAATCCAATAACACTTGAGTCTTTAGATCAACGTCATCATTCAGTAGCTGTCAGGGAGTCAAGTCACCTAGGCCATCACAACTGCAGTAACATGCAAAGAATATAAAAGACATAAGTGGATGGAGCTGGAGGAGTTGCTCCTTTAGATGTAGTTACTCAAGATCAGGGTCTAGGTCCCAAGAGGACCAAAGGTAATATTGTCCTGACTACTACATACAGTTTTATAGAGGGAAATCTTAATTACAGTTACTTGTATGTAATTACGGAAGTCTAGTGTTTTGTTTCTGTGTATTGTAATGTTTATTCATAGTATACTCTGAATAGATATTACATACACATTACCTGATGGTTTATTCATAAGACATTCTGACCAGCCAGATACAATTTAGGAAGGATCAGTCTATGATATTATGCACCTGTTACTTGAGGTTATTCAGAATATCTTTTTTTGTGATAAACACATTAGCAGTTCAGAGAGCATTCAAATGCAAACAGTTTTTTTTCCTGTAATCTGGTGCAACACTTCAGCTCTAGATGAAACAACAGCCACTGTTCTATTTGTCTTCTATTTGTATGTAAAACAGCGTGAAGCGCAGGCAGCAGAAAACAGGTGGGTAATAATTTACTGTGCTTGCTTGCTTCAAATGAAGAGCACCTAAAGCCACATAAAGAATCTGATAAATTACCTATCTAGCAAAACTGGACTTGTTCTCTCTTGTTTGCCCAGAACACGGCAGGAGTGGCTTTAAGAATTTAATCCTCACAGCATTCTTCAGCTGGCACTCCGAGTGTATGTCTACTTTATTTTACCTCTGTTACACACATTTCTTTCAGGAGCGGTATGTGTTTAAATCCCTGTTTTCATGGCAACCAATTACATTTATAAAATACGCAATTCTGTATCTCCTCTTCCATTTACTGGACCATTTGGATTTTAGCTATTCAGGAAAAGAACAATTTGTTTTAAAAACAAAACGTGAAAGGAAGAAGAGAAAATATTTTAACAAAATGACTGACAAATGTCTGAAGAATCTGTTACTGAATATTACTGTCAACAAGAATATTTGGAATTACTTTTTTAAAGCATGAAATGGAACCATTGTGGTCATCTAATTTCACTCCCTATATTTAAAGGAAATCCCTTGGCTTGGTGGTATAGCTAGAGCCTGCACATTTAGGAAACATTCTAAAACCCCATTGCATGGTCAAGGCAATTCTCACTATAAAAAAATTCAAGTTTACTGAATTTGAGAGGCAAACTCTTGTTCTCCTCTATTGTAATATTCTTACATCTGCTCCTAAGACATGATACTGGACAGAATTCTGGTCTGGAGTGACAGCTCCACTACATAGCAGTGCTGAGTGCTATCAACAGAGTTGAAACAATTGTGGGGTTTTTTTCCAGAGGAATGTATTGTTGGTAACATAGGTCACTAAAACATTGCTGCTTCTACTATGTATCCTGATTGCAACATTATTCCCCACTTAAATAAGAAGCATTATTTTGATGTTCTATTCCAGCCCATACAGTTAAATTAAAAACAAAGATCTGTCCCTCAGTTTGTTGTAAGAAAGAAGTTCTGGTCAGCTTTGAACCATAGGTCAAAGTATAACAAACCAACAGGATACTGAGGTAGTTCAAGTCTACATTATGTCCTAAAAATACTTTTCCTGTTAGACTGCCTTGTGACTGCAGTCATTAAAATGCACATAGCCCCAGTTGGCTGCTGAGTTAACCCTCCATGTGTGCAGGGAGCATACTCAGCTCACTTCAGGAGGAGCTGAGAGTTTGGCGAGTTGCTCAAGGGAGAGTCATTGCCCGGTGAGTCATGTTAGTGCTCCACCCGCCGTGGTCCAAACCTCAGGATTTTGCACAGTCCTTACAACTGAGTTGCCAACGGGTTTCTAGTTCCGTTGTGTGGAAATAGAAACTTCATCCTTCCTCAAAGCACAGGAGAACAGCAGGTTGTTCTGCTTAACTGCTCTAAAAGAGTAACGTGTCTAACATTTTTCACTGTCAATCTTTTAATCCTTAGGATTAAAGCCATGCATTTCAGGTGTACACAGCATATGTCCACACATTCACAAAATCACACACCAAAACACTACTTCCTCTTTGCAGCAGACTTAAGTGTTCTGCCAAGAAACTTAAATGACTCAACTAACAAAGCAAACTTAGTGACCTTCATCCCAGTATACAGAAATAACCACCAAATGAAATTATAATTCTGGAACCAAAGATTTTCTTATGTTTCAAATTGCAGATAACGAAGTTTGTTATTCCCAACAATATAGAACTTTATACTGCTGAGTTAAGAAATACTGGAGCATTACCAGCTCCTCCTGAAATTTTATGAAGGCATTTCTGTTAAAGATAGTTCTCCTGCAAGTATTGCTTTTGATAAGTAACACAGAGCGCTTTCATGTGCTTGCATGTTTTACGTGCACTCTGAAGTGAACCAGCACAGCCTTACTATGCTAGGAAGATAGCAGAGCAAAGCGTAATATGCGTGCTAATTAAACTGCAGGTGGTCTGAAGTCACCATGCTCACTGAAAAAAACATAAGGTTTCATTGCCTCTGTACTGCCCAGAGGTGCTTTTTGCTGAAACTCTGTTCCTTTGTTGAAGCTGACTGAGATTACATGTCTGAGAAGGGCCTAAGGCAACATGGTGGACTGATTTTATACAGTCCTCCAACTTCTACCAAAAGGGAACAAGAGAACCAATTGTAACATTGTACTCCTTTCTGAATATTGTTATGTATATTGAGGAAAAGAAGTGTTCAAGGAGAACTTCATAATGAGATAAAAACCCAAGATCAGTTCAACTGATTGCCACAGATAAACATGTAATGCCATAATGTCCAGCAATGTTGCACTCATTCAGAGAAGCCACGGAAGAAAATGAAAATGCCAAAAGATAGAAGTGCTTTTATTACATTAGTGAGATCACCAATGTGACTAAGTACAACGTACAGAAGCATATCCAGAGAATTACCTATCTCAGCTATTTTAAAGCTAACTTTGTCAAAGTTACTTAGAGCAATACATCCTAAACAAACAAAAAAAAAAAAAAAAGGAGAAAATTCCCCTAATAAATCCATGCGGTTTACAAATCAATAGCAAGTAAAGCTTGAAATCCTTGATGTTTCTTGACTCTGAAGCTTTTCCCACCAGATTTTCTGCTGAACTTCAAATTTTTAGACAGATTTCTGTAGACTGGAACAATTCTAATAGAATACCTTTAGTAATTCCTGTCTACATTTCACAGCTCCAGAGAAGGAATGCCTTCTAGGTAATAACACAGCCAAGGCTATGTCCATTCACAAGGACACAATAGATGGGATTAGTTTTTAAAGGGAAACTCTTTTCCTACTCCAATTCCTAACATTTGGCACTGTGCTTTCTGGCATACACCCAAACCCATGGACTTTGGTCTCTTCAGACAGCTGCTTTGAAGTGGATCGTTTTAGGTAGGAAGCCATAACCTCAGTCCCGTATGACAGATCTTCATTAGTCTTCAGGTACTTGCAAGGACTGGCAAATTACACACTAATCACAAATTGATTCTTTCATCTCAGAATCTTGCCTGTTGTGCACACCAGCTTATTAAACAGCGTAGCTATTCGCTTGCAGAGTGTTAAAAATCTTTCTTACATTTTCTCACTTTCCTAACAGGGAATGGCAAAGAGTTTCCTGGAGAGGAGATTAGGGAAAGAATATTATGCTTCCCCCGTGCAACTTTTTTTGCAGTCATCGCTTACCCAGCTTTGCTACTTGCTCTTTGTCTCTATCAATGTGAAAACTTACTTTAAAAAACCTTGCAGAATGTTGAGTGGCTAAGTTAAGAATATTAAGTTTAAATAAGAGAAGGGAAAGCAAAACATTTTTATTCAGAGTAATAAAATACAAGAGTCGAGTCCTAATTTAATGCTCGCAAATAACACTTTCAAATGAGATGGGGATCTTTGCTATAGCTTCAGTCTTCACATATATTGTCCTTGCAATTAGAATTTAGCAGTGAGTCACTGGGGGAACTCTCTAGATCAGAATCAGTACAGGATCTACAGATTTGTAATTTGAGTCTTATTCTTGGATTTATCTGACAAATTAGCACAAAAATTATTTTGGGGAACCCTGTCTCTCCATACTTCTCCAACATTTCAAACTCATTCACCGAAACAGACAGTGGGAACAGGTGTGTCGTAGAAGAGGGATGCTTTAACTCCGTTAGGCAAACCTCCTCAGTACAGCTGAACAGCCTTCTAAAGGTAATGTTATTAGCTGAGACCATGCAAAGTTGCAGATAATGTTGGTATTGGCTCAGCTAGAACTCATTTAACATGAAATATGTCTTGGGGAGAAAATGGGGTTTCTGTTTGCATAATTTTAGCAGCAGTACAGGGTTATGAAACATAAAATTTCTATTTGATGACACCCAACCTTTAACCTCAAATTTCATGAATTGTCATTTTGCTGTCCCTTTCTTCTTTGGCAAAGATGAAACTCCAGTAAGCACACTTATTTAGTTACAGATGCTTTTCAAGCCCTTTTACCATAAACACAGTTGCTGGCTCTAATTGTCTGAACCCTCACTTTATGAGAGGCTAGTGCTTTTGATCTTGACTTCCTTTTCCAAAGGGGCAGAAAATAATCATATGCATAGAAATTATATAATAAACTGAATTTGCTATCTCATACGCTGTCACTACCCTGCTGAAGGAGTATACACAGCACCACTAATAAACCAGTGACCACTCCATAGTCTGTCATGGTAAAGCACATTACATGCAACACAACCCCCCACATTTTTAGTGTGCTTTAACAGCTGGAAAAAAACCCTGCAAAGAAGTCTGCAGAATTGGAGTTGATTTGATCCACCTCTTTCCTGGATGCCACATTACCCCCTCCTTTCTTTTAAAAGTGGATTCATTACACAATAAATGAGAACAGTTTATTCCAGACAGAAGCCATTCTTGCCACTGCAATGGAACTTTTATTCCAAATACATTCTTACAATAAAGCTGTATTTTGTTATACAAGTAGGTAATCCCAGGAGACAAAAGATTCTCATGTTCCGTTTTAAAGTATCAGGCTCAGCTGAACTGCAGCCATTCCCATTCCCATTTCCTGAAGCATGTTAGGGATTTTTCAGGGCAATGGAAATAAAGATGTAAACCCAGTCATGTAGGTAATTAAATTACGGTCCAAGGAAGTTTGTAACACCATAGAAAAGTGTATCTACTCATTCTTCAGGCTCCTAACACCATAGAAAAGTGTATCTACTCATTCTTCGGGCTCCTTTAAGTGTAGGATGGCAACAGTTTCTTTATAAACTCAGAAGTTTTTCGTTGAGAGCAATCTGTGACTGTGTGAGGTTTGCCAAGTAGGTTACCATCAGTAGGTCCTGAAAGGGGGAAAAAAACAGCAGTCAGAAATATGAACAAAGATTGTAGCCTATTAGGGAGCTGAATTTTTAACACCTTAAAGCATTTTACAATCAGCTACTAGAAATATTGTTAGTCTTGAAAGCCCTACCCTGAGGAATGCTTCCCTTGCAGGAAGCTTTTGGTATTCCTGGAATATGAGACACTGCTTGTGAAATTTTAACTCCAAGTTCACCTATGTTAACCAGGCAAGTCAAAGGGTATAGGCAAAATTAAAAATTAGTTCTGGTCTTGCAGACTGTGGCTGAACAACACATTCAGAAACTTGTTTCTGTCGAAAGAGAAAACTAAGGTAGCATGCTAGAACCTTGTTCAAGTCCTAAGTGTTATGCAAGGAGATAGAACTTCAGTTCAGGCAAAGGAAGCTGTCAAGTCACCCGTTATCCTTGAAATCCAAACTTTTTAAGTTTTGTAATTCATATTCTCCAATCAAAATGAAAGGAGAATTGGTGCTGGTTTGCAGATTACTTGCATAATTCCTAACTACTTTAAAATTTATTCTTTTATCTGCAGTTGATGGCAATATTACTATGGTGAGCTCCTTTATCCACCTTCAGCCCTGACAACAAAGGGCTACTAACATGTTTGTATGAAAAGATGGTTTTGATTACAGACAAATTTGTGTCTGTATGACAAATTTTCAAAATTGCTGACAATTCATAGAAAAAAATTAAATTATGAACTTACATTGATATTGCTGTTCAACATTGTCTCAAAGTCCTCTGGTGAAATCTTTGGCACCTGGTTAATAAGATCCATCAGGAAACGCCCAACAGTGTTGTCAGCAGCCACTTTGCCAGACTAAGCATAAAAACACACAGTTCAGATGAGTAAAACTCAGTGAGTTTATGGCCCAGAAAGAAAAAATATAAAAAGAAAACCAAGATGGCCAAGTTTACATCAAACTTATTTTCTGGCTACTAAAAAGCTGGCCTTACCAACACATCCTCAGCATACTGCAGCACCATGGTCAGGGTATCCTGGATCCGGGCTGATGCTGAGCCCACCTGCTGTAAGTCGCTGGACAAGCCAATCACTCGATTAGGGCTGAAACAAGTCTTCATGATAAGATCCACTGAAAGCCAAAGGAAGATCAATGAAAAAAACTGTCACAGAAACCAGCTGAAGATTTTTTAGGACAGCTTCAGCAAGACAGTCTAATTCCCAGTAGAATTCCCAGAATGGCAATTTTACCAGGGTAAAAAAAAAGCATTTGAACAGCATCACAACAATGGTTACAACCAAAATAGGAAAGAAACATTCACCTCCTATCCGCTCTGTATCATAATAAACATATTTCACTGTTAGGGGTGTGAACATCACGCCCATGGTTTTACCAGGGACTCCCATTGGGGCACTAGAAAAAAACAAAACAAAACAAAACGTTTTCAGCATGGACATATATAAGGGAGGAAGAAATAGATTTCCATCTCAATGATCTCTGTTAGCACTAAAGCATGAACATGAGTAGGTTATTCGTTCTCACCAAAATTAGCAATTTTATGACTAAGGATAACTGAGGACAGGAAATCAGTTCTGGCATGCTACTAATTGCCCATTTTCATCCAAGAATATCCCTACCCGGTCTGACATTTGTCAGCATGAACACATGAAGAGCTAAGTACTATAATTTTAGCCACAATTCCTTGCTTATAGAACAGGTATTCTTCTATCATGAAATACTGTGAGAAATCACTGAAGGAACAAACAAATATGGCAAAATTCAAGTACAAAGCATTCTCAACATATTTATTAATCCTAATATTCAAAGTATTTGAAGTCCATTATGCTTTAAGTAATATGTCATGGAATAACTCCCTTTTTGAAATTACACAGTCAAGAAGCCGTACTTTCTCTATAAAGAAAGGCTTGGGGTTTTTTCCTTACAGAGGAGAGCTCTTCAGCCAGTACTGGGAAGAATTTAGTGAGGTGAAAGGGTTTAATTTCTCAATACTTAATCTTCATTGATTGACAAAAATGAAGGAGTTAAGGGGAAGAAAGACTCATCAAGAAGATGCTGTTTCAATTACATTTTAACACTAATCCTCCAGCTTGTACAAATAAATCCAGTGGGTACAGGCTAGAATTCAGTCGGTGTGATGAAGTTAGTGACACTACTGCTAGCTGTGTGAATCCTGTGAAACGTCCCAGAGATGTTCAGAACACTGCTAATGAAGTCACAATTCCCTACCCCAATGAGGTACCAGTTTATGAAAGGTCAGGTCTTTCAACCTACATCCAATGGTCAAGACGTTCCAAAGAGAAGTAAGTCATGGTCCCTGGCTCACCACTGTGTTTTAGCTACTGCACAGTATTGCCCAAAATGGGGCACTGTAATCCACTACATTCCCTGTTACCCCGATGGTGTGTCTCAGGAATTCTCACAGCTCCCCTGCGGAAGTGCAGCCTCCCGGAGTACCTGACATAGGCTTTAATGCTCATGCGTGAATTCTGGAGACTTGTGTCCACAGTGAGGTGGATTGGATTGTGCGCTTCCCGGCTGTAATACTCGTGGATCAGGACTGAGTGCTCCGTGATGTCATGACCTGTTGCATACCTTCAAAAGAACACATGTTGAGGAGCCGTTCTTCCAACATTCAAGTGCCCACCCTTCCGTGCTGTTGGGATTTAACAGGTTTGTATTTCCACTGATCTCCAAACACTGAGCTACAGCAGCATATGAAATACTAGTGTTTTAATTACGGATTCTGTAGTTTTATAGCCACCTGTCCTAGAATTGTAGGAATCACAGGCTAAGCACACTCGTGCCCAAAATACGCATGGGGACAGTGTTGTAGTACCAGCCATAAAAATGTCAGTACAACTGTCATCAGATACCCAGTATTCACTTATCTGTCACTGTGTTCTTGACCAACTCTTTACTTCTGTACAAATTCAGATCAGCTTTGTCTTCCACAAATCAAACATCTCTCTGCAGGAGGTATAACTTGCTCATCTGGCTCCTTTAACTGCTCTGCAATTAGTGTCTCACATCCACAGGGAAAGTCCTGTCATCAGAACTGCACTTTGCTGTGCCATTAGAAGGTTGTTGAGGAAGTCTGCTCCACAGGAACAGAACAAAGCTATTTTGTAGGATCAGAGAGGCATGAAAAGACTAATACACACACTATGTCACACACTCAGACACACTCTGTTCCCATATAAATGTACTGATCTTGCATTGCAACCCACAGACAGGTACTTCTCAGCAGAGAGCTATGCACTCAGCTGGTACCAGTGATTCCTCCTGATCCCTTTGGTACTTGAATGTGGTACTTGAAACTACTCTTTTGTATTCTCCCTTCTTTCTAACCAGTTAATTTACATGTATCACAGGTAGTATGTTCTAACAAAGCCGTGAAAGCATTTTCTAACTCATCAGTCCTCTGTAATACCTTGCTAGACATAAACAAAAGCAAATCCTGAAAGTCTCCAATACTCTTCCTTTTATGAACTGCAAGAGCTTTACCACTGACTGTAGAACAAGAGTTGCAAGATCTTACTGTCACAACCATTAGTGCTTCTGCTTCTACATCTATGACAAGGTGAATTATGTATTTCAAACAGTTTAAGGGACCAAGACAACTGCTTGTGTGTTCTTGCAGGAGAACTTACCAGCCCAAGATGATCTCGCTAGGAGACACCTTTTTGTGCAGCTCATACATGTTTTTGGCAAACTCCATATCGACTGCCACCTGAGAAACGGGACAGGGCCGAGTCAGCGGCTGTTTAACTCTGGGCGGGGGCAGCTGGGGCTCCAGCCCCATCTGCGGAGCCCAGAGCATCTCCCAGGCCGGCTCCCTACCTCATCCTCGGACTCGTTGTGCGGGACGGAGAAGCAGTTGGTGACCTCCACCGAGTGCTTGTCCACGGTCCCTGCGGGAGGGAGGGCAGCGGGTTAGGGGGCGCCGGGGGGTGCTCGCCCCCAGGCCGCGGCGGGGCGGCGGTGGCTCTTACCCAGCAGCGTCCCGATGACCCGCGCCGCGCCCTCGTTGCGCCGCTCGAAGCTGTCCACGATGGAGGCGAGCACGACCGGGTGCAGCCGCACCACGCGGCCGCCGGGGAACGGGCCCGAGAGCGCGGCTGACAGCGGCGGGGCCGGCGGCGGCGGGGCCGGGGCGGCGGGCGGGGCTGGCGCGGCCGCGGGGGGAGCGCTCCCGGTCGGGGCGGCTGGAGCCGCTGGTGGGCTCTGCGGCGGGGCCGCCGCGGGAGGAGCCGCGCTGGGCGCCGTCGCCGCCATTTTGCAAGGAAAGAGGCTGGGGCCTCCGCGCCGACAGTGATTGGCTGAGCCGAACGCCTGTCACTCAGCGCTACCTTCCTATTGGGAACAAGAGCAGTCTAAAGCCCGCCTTCCACCTAGTAACCAATCCGAGGGGGGCAATGGGGGAAGGCTCTCTGATTGGAGGAAGAGCGTGCCTTCCGTGACTGAACCTCACTCTTGTTCCCGCCCCCCCGGGGCCCAAGAGGGTTTCAATTGGACGCTGGTAGTCCCCGCCTCCCTCCGCATCCGCTCTTTTATTGGCCAGCATGGCCCCTCCGTGCTGTCTGTCAGGCAGGAGGACTATTTATTGGCTGCGGCCGTACCGCTTCGCCACTATGGCGAAAGGGCTCCCCGAGGTGGCGGGGCAGGTGCTGTAGGGGTGCGGTGCTGCCGCCTCGGCTTGTGAGGACGCAGGCAGCAGGTGCCGCCCCATGGCTGTGTGGTGACGCGGTAAACGCGGTAGTGCAGGCGCGGCACCCGGTGAATTTGCGCCAGTAGTGCTGAGCGTGGGGTTATACAGTCCTTGGAGCCTGGGCGCGGTGAGACCGGCCAGTGCTGTTAGTCCTGTTTGCCAGGGCTGGGTTGGCAGTGACGCATGGAAGAGTGAGTGGTTGTCAAGTCTCGTATAGAGAACAAATGGTGGTGGCAATCTCTAGCCAGGCTTTAGCGATTACCCATCAAACTGACTGACTGGATATAATTTGCCTATTGCCTGTAGTGCCCCGTGTGTGCACTCTCGAGCAACAAAGCTGTGTGGGTGGGGCAGGTGTGGTGGTGAAATGAAGCACGTATGCTCTCAATAACTGGTAAGAGGACTGGATTCCTCAAGAGCTTCCTTTTGGTTCCTTAGCCATGTGTATGCAGCTGTTACCAGTTGTAACATAGTGACAGATTTACCTTAATTCAAAACCTTTTATCGCTGTTCCTGATGTTTGACGGACTTTCAAGGCAGAACTTTAGATGTCATTGAAAAGTTTGGGGCCCCTTTGGCTTCGAGCTGTTCTTTTCCCACAAGTAAATTGTGTGTATAAACATAAAAAACCAGCGAAAGATAGAGAAGTCTTGGCTGCTGATAAAATGCTTAGTCCAGTGAAACTATGCCAGCCAAAAAAACTGCGTCAGTTCTCTGGCACTACTTTGTCTACCAGGTGGCTATTTGAATAATTGAGAGCATTTCCAGGTAGTTGTTTCCCAGGTGTGGCAGAGAGAAAAGTGCAGTGGTGGCTCTGGTGCTATCTCAGATACAATCATCTTTTCTAGATCTGCTTTGGGCTCCTGATACATTCTTTCCCAAATTTGGCTTACCAGGTAAAGTAATTTTAACATTAAAAGAAGATTTTATCATGATGGATGGCCTTTGGACTTTTCTCTGCTTCATTAGTTGAGGCATGAACATCATCATTTAATGAGCAGTTTCAACTATGTCGTTGAAGACAGGCTCTTCAGTATAAAAGGAGCAGCTCAATAAAAAAAACACACATCCTGCCCACGTGCCAGCAGTTTGCTTCTTTTACGTAAGTGGGGGACACCCGTCAAAGCCACAAAGGAGAACTAACACATGGGAACATGACTAGATTTTATCTCTTCATAAAAGCGCTTCCAGGTCTGTGTGCCAGTAAAAACTAGACCTCCTATTCTTAGGCTTTCTTTTCTCTGCAGCCTTCATTTTTTGTAGGTGTGCCTGGGTCAAATTGCATAAAGCTTTACAAATGTTTCTGCTCCCCGGGCTTTGATGTGTCATTGAGAAGTCTAATATGTGAGGTGTTCTTATTAGAGAGCAGCTGTTTGATCTCATTCTTGTTTGCATCAAACTGCCCTTGGTGCTTAATTTGACATAGTCAGCTGCAGTCATGTGAAGCAAGGCAGGCTATATAAGAGCTGCCCATCATATTTTTATGTTGCTACCTTAATAATCAGGCAACTTAATATGGAGCTGCAGTTGTGCTTCAAAACTGGCAGCTGTGATAACCTTCTTTTAATATGTAGCTGTCAAGTTGCTGGACAGAGTGCTGGAGAGTGTATGTGGGAGTAAAGGTGGATGACTCAAGAGTCAAAGATCAGTGGTTGGCTCACACAAAGCCCACTTAACACAAAGATTGTGTAAATCTATAACAAAATCAGTCGTGTCATAGTGCTTGTAGCAGATGTGTCCAAGCTACAAAACTGTTTTTCCTTGCTGAATGAGTGCTGAAAAATCAAGACCTTCATAATTAATACTGTCTCATAAACAAAAAAAAAGGTTACTTTTAGAGGAGGGTACACTTATCATTGGTGTCTATTGATGAAAATTTGATGTCCTTGCAGTAAGATGATTAAGATGTTCTGATTCTACCCCATTACAAACATCTGTCTGCCTAGAGGAGAAATAGAAGACGTGTTCACACACGTATATAGACCAGCATGGTAACTCAGGGCCCTCTGATTTTATGTTTTTCCTTGCTTGGTTTCCCTGCATCTGATTTTGGTGGTGAATATAATTAATCTCCTAGCTCTGCTCTTATATGATTCCTCTTTATAGTCCTTGCATGTGACTGAGTCATTATCGCATTTCAGCTACATTTTCACAGATGATGTATAATTTTTTTATCAGTAACTACCTTCTTATCTTGCCTGTATTACTGGAAGTAACATCATGCCTTGCTCTAGGCAACAGTATTTCTTACATTGCATTACAGGTAAAATAAAATACAATTTGTTTGATTCATCTTTTCAGGATGTAGTTTTATCTAGTTAGTTTCAGGGGATTGAATCTGACATTTTTATTCCTTTATTATAAAATAAGTTTTTTCTTGTGCATTCTGTCTACAAATGGAAGGAGACACAACTAGGACAGGTGACCCAAAATAACCAAAGGGATATTCCATATCATATGGCATCATGGTCAGTATATAAAGTGGGAGCAAGAAGGAAGAAGTGGGGACATTTGGAGTAGTGTGTTTGTCTTCCCGAGTAACCATTACATGTGTTGGGTCTTTGCTGTCCTGCAAATGGCTGAACACCTGCCTGCCCGTGGGAAGCAATGAATTAATTCCTTGTTTCACTCTGCTCATGTGCATGGCTCTTGCTTTCCGTAAACTGTCTTTATCTCAATCCATGAGTTTTCCAGCTTTTACCCTTCTGATTCTCTCTCCCTGATCCCACTGGTGGAGATGTGAGCAAACGGCTACGTGGGGTTTGCTTGCCTGGCTGGATTTAAACCACAGCATGGATCTGTATGCTCTGCCTTCTAGGCAGGACTTTTATATGATGCAGTCGTGGGCGATGATTTCAAGTTTTGGGTTGTGAGGGGTTTGTTTGGGGTTTTGTTATTTTTCCTATTAAAAAAGGTAATAGTTCTCTTCTTTAGTCCTAATTGAACATCTTAGATACCCATTTACTCTCATGCACTTGGGATTGCCAATATACAGTTGTTGATAGCCACCAGCTCTCAGTGCAATATATCAGCTCACTCAGCTTTGTCATTTCAGCAAGAGGGATTCCAGCCTTTCCCTGCTTTTGTGTAATATTTTATGAGGTCACCTTAATTATCAAAGAAATAACACCGGCACATAGGACTACTGAGGTAATGCTTAGAGTGAAAATCCAAATACCACCTAAAAATAATGAGGCGTAGCGCTAATTGCATACTTCACTGATAAAAGAATATACCTTTGCTAAAGTTAGAGTGGCTATGGAAGTTATCATTAGGTGATCAGAAATAGCACTCTGGGGGCTGCTGGGCGCTTTTGAGTCACTAAATGGAAATACAGAGATCCAAGCTAAAGTAAAAGTAACTTCACAGTAAAACTTGCCATAAAAAGTAACTGAGAGCAATGCCCACAGGCTGGCATACTTAGGGCAACAGATACTTTTGCGGTCAAAGTTTTACTCACTGAGGAAGGGAAGATAGAGAAGAAGAAAAATGCAAGACAGCAAATACAAGGATGAAGTAATAGTAATAAATATATAGGAAATGGATGAGAAAAATCCGTTTAATTAGGAATAGGATTGTTTGGGAAACGTGAAACTTCTTGACGTCTGATATTCACAGCCAGTGAAGGATGGGGGATCTTGAGGTGGCTCCCAGAAGACAGACGCACCAAAGGTAAAGCTTCCCCAGCCGGCCGGAGGGAAGGCCCCTCAGCCTGGCGGCTGCGCAGGCCGGCGTTGTGCGGGGCCCGTTCCCGGGGCCCGTTCCCGGTGTCCGGGGGAGGAGCGGCGCTCCCGGCAGAGGGCGCGCGCCGCCCGCCGGCACCGGGACCTCCGCGGGAATGAGGGGTTGGTTGTCTGCGGCTGAGGGAGGCGCCTCGGCTTTCCCCTCCTGCCACGGCAATTAGAGAGCCGCGGACACAAACCACAGCCTGTGTAACCACTTAGTGCTAATTAATTGGTGACTTCACTCTGCCTGCTTTGAAGTTAGCAGCGTAAGCGAGAATTTGTGCGCAGTGCTTTTCCCACCGGGGTTTATTATGTGTATTTCACTTATTAGTTTATTTTTTTCGGTTAATAACATTGAGGTTGAATCAGTGAGGTGGAATTCGTTAATTTTAACTTAATTCTACCTTAATTCCTCTGTGCCATTTCACATAAGAATGTCACAGAGCGATTTACTTACGGGTGCTATGGCTGTGCAATCCTAACATGTGCTGTACAACCCCAGATTTTACTGAAATAAGTGGAAATGAAAGGTGTTTGGGGTTTTTGGTGAAAGCACGAACTCTCCAACCCCTCAAGACATTTCTGCTTCTTGATGATCTATAATAATGATTATTTTCTACTTTTGACTTAAATCATGGTCAGATTCAGCTTTTGGGTGAGAGGCATTTTATATGCTACTTGTACTTAAAACTGATATAGAATGTGCTTGCACTGACCTAGCAAAGCATTTAGATGTACTACTCTGAAAGATCAAACCTTGTGCTTCACATTACATTGCATTTTTTCCTGCCTACCCTGTGCAGTGAGAACTGAAGAAAACCTAGATGTGACTCCTGGCTTTTCTTCTTCTCCAGGGAGTATGAGGTAGAAGTGTGGCAGCGCTACTGTCCTTTCCATGTAATCGACTTGAATAAGTAATCTCTGGCAGGCAGCCTTTAACACAGTGTCTCTTTGTCTGGTAACTTGCTGCTACTGTGCTTGACTTAAAAGCATTTGTAACAGAGCAGAGCTGTGTCCTTGAATACCTACTGACATCCAAATAAAATTGTGTAATGTCACTGATGGCAGATAAGTGTGAAAGTTCCTGTGCAGGCAAGTTTCAAATATTAAAAATTTCTAACACTTATAACAGCTAACGTGTCAGTGTGCTATTTTGTTGAGAAAATAATCTCTTCTCACAGTCCTTTGTTCTTATAAAATCACTTTACAGCTTTACTTCTCTCATCAGTAAGCATGTCCTTTCCTTGGTGTCCTTTACAGCATGGGTAAGTCATCACTTTCCATGCATTTCAGCTGAGACCAAAATTGCATATGTCCCCAAAAGCACTGAGCGAGACCTTTGGGACTGGCAGTGTTCACTGTGTCATTCAGCACAAACATTTGCTTTGGTGTCTTGAGAAAAATCTGCATGCAGAAGTGAAGTAACTAGACTGGAAAATACGTATTTCACTTGATGGTGTAGGGAGGCCTGCTGAGAGAAGGGCAAAAATGCCATTACTTTGTGAATTCCGAGGATTATATTTATATGATTTTTACATCACCAGACTCTGACAGTGTTGTCTGTTCCTTCACAGCTCTGTGCATTTTTTTCAGTGTGAAGCAGCTGCATCATGATCTGTTGGATGAATAAGTGGGCAATGAAGGAGAAGGTAAGAAGATAATGATTTACATATAGAAATGGCAGCTGAAAAGGAACAGTGGTAATAAAATCTAGAGGACAGTTTCTATGTAGGAGCCTGGGAGACCTGAGGACCCATTGCAATTCTGTTACTGGCATCTTGGATGATGCAAGGCAAGGCATCTGTGAGACACTGGATTATTATATTAATTATTGGCTTAGACCAACTCAAGTATGTATGTGGGGGGGAGGGGACAGGTCGAATTTCACAGAGCTGAGGTGATGCCCTGTCCCACACCCCGGCCCCTGCAAGTGTTCTGGAACAAACCCCTGTGGTGAGCTCAGGGCCTGGGCTCTAACAGCACCCATATAACTGAAAAAATGACAGAGACATGCTTTGGGTAGTGTTTGAGCTCTTAAAATGGGAAGTGTCTGATAATAACTAGATAGTATTATTCTCCTATCTGTGCTACTGACTTTGGGGAAGTAATGTAACATTTAAATTTCAGTTTTCCACTTCTGCAAAATATGATTAATGATGCAGTAGTGGATAGGTTTGTATATAGGACATGCACAGACAGTTTACTGAGGAAAGGCAGGAAAGACCTTACCCTTTGAGGAAGCAGCTTTTGAGAGGAAGCTGAAGAGTGCATTTCCTGACCCAGACACTGTTCCTTTGGAAAGAGAGGAAGTCTTCAACTAGCCTAAGCAAGAGGAGAACAGTAACTGTCTCCGTATTGTTTCCCAATAATAAATGTAAATAATTCATCAGCAAAGGTGAATTGATGCTGCTGAGATCTCAGGTGTAGCAGCAAAATTTCATTTCATTTTTTATCAAACCTATATGTCATGAAAGCTTGGATTAAACTTGCAAGAGCTACTTTTTGCTAAATGCTGTCCTAATCAATCTGTAGATTTGAAATACCATGAGTGCAGACATATGAATTCATTTTCTATATTCTGATTGCCAATTTGTCTTTCTCCATCAGAAAGCATGATACAGCATTGGCTGAGAGAACTGCATAGGGCTGGTTGGACTGGTCTGCACAAATAAAGAATTGATTCCAAACTGCCCAGTACTCCAGCTGAATCACAAGCCTTTGCAGCACTGCTCAGCTTGAGCTATTGTGGCAGATAGGGGAGTACACCGACACAGTTAATTTGACTATTCAGGTTAGATTTCCAGCCCTGTTTTGAAAAGTCAAATTTCTGTTTGCAACTACCACTTTACAGTGTTCACAGTGTAATTGGACCTGAAAAGCTCAGAATTTCCAGATTTCTTTTTATATTTTCTCTGGATTTTCTGTTCTATTTCTCTCAAGCATTTGGGATTTGCCACTTACTATTCTGAATGACATCCCTTTGCATATCTTTTATTTTATTTTTTTTGTACATTGGAATAAAAACTAAGCTGATCCATCATTGAAATATCCCAGTCATTTGTTTCTGTAGCTGCCAGCAAGGCTACCTTCTACCAATGGCAAAATTTATGGGAGATATCCCTCACCGTGCCCTGTCATCTTGCCTTATCTAGCTCTGTCTAGAAATCTTTCTTTTTAATTCTCTGCCCTCTGAAGTCTACAGTGAATTCTGCCTTTTTCTGAAAAGACTCTAAAACTCCCTCCCGGATTCTTTTGTTGTTAGGTATTCTCTTTACCAAATACATATACATTGCCTCATTTTTAAATGGTACAGTATGTTACACTTTGCCTGTATATAACTTGGAATATTCTGTAGAGTTCATTAATAAAATAGTCAGGTTCAGTAAGTACGTTTTAACTTAAAGACAGTGGAGGTCAGGACCTTTTGCATTCTTGTCTTATCACACTTTAGCAAATATGAGGAGAAAATCCCTTCCTCATTTCTGAAAGAAAAGATTTTTGAATGGTAGGAGAAGCTTACCCAGAAAAAGACAGTACTTTGAATTCTTTATAAGAAGTCTCCCAGTGGCTCTAAAATATAAGAACATGTAGATATTGCAACCTTACTATTCACTTGTAATTCATTTGGTGTTTTAAAAATTAGGTAGCCCAAAAGTTACTGGAGTATACTTCTCTAGTAACTTCTGGTGAGGGACAGAATCATGGATTGCAATTCCACAATCTGTCTTTTCTCTTGGGTGATTGCCCCTGTTTGGAGCCTGGACTCTAAATGTTCTCTCTGTGGTCACTGATAAGAGAAGTACCCCCAGAAGGCAACTCAGTCACCTTGCTAAAGTCTATTATAGGTGCTCATAGTTGCCCTCTTAAGGCAATTGTCAATCTGAGTATTGATTGTATTGAGAGTCTACAGAGCCCAAAGGCGGCATCCAATTTACCTGCTTAATGCAAACCATCCGAAGGCAGCCCTGAACTGTGAAACACATTGTGCTAGGCTGGCCAGCAGTGGGGCAGCTGGACTCTTGAGTATTTGGGAGTGAAGGGGAGGCTGGGCTAGCACCTTGCTTTTCAGTTCTTGTTTCTATGCTCTAATCATCGTACTCTAGTTCATGAATTCGTTTTATCTTATTCTGAGCATATCTGCTCCTATGGCTTTAAATACCTCATGTCTGTATAGCTAAAAAAAGGTTTTATCTCTCCTAAGGATCTGTTTTTTGGGGAATGGCTTTGTTTGCTTCTGCCTTAAAGAAAAAAAAATTAAAAAAATATTTGCTTTTAAGGATTGAAGATGTGCTTAAAAAGAGAACAGAAGCTTAAGTCCTATTTTGGGGGCAACACAGCATCTCTCCAGCAAAATGAAAGTCTAGAGTGTTGAACTTAAAAGCATACACTCTTGGAGTGGTAGAGGTTAGATGTACACTGTGTCCAGTGGAACTGAGTAAAATTTTACCTCAGTCCATGCACTGAGTCCCATATTGGCTGATGTGGCCTTCAGAGATATCTAGTCTGTAGGAAATGTTAAAATGAGGGGCATAGGTGAAATACTGGTTATCGGAATATAGCCTGGATTCTTTCTGCATCAGAGTGAGATGTAGATAGTAATGCTACCTTGCTTTGCAGGACAATTATGGAGACTGTCACTTTTGTTTGTTAGAAGTTCAGATATTCTGTCCTGAGAAATGTATGAATACAGTAGATAAACAGAAGGAGTGAAAAATCCTTCTCCATATTTCTTCTATAAAACATTTCTGAGACTGGCAGTCTGCAACCTTTCAGCAGTGTTTAAAATCACTCTCTTGAAAAGAAAAGCATCTTGCTCTCTGTGGTACTGCTTGCTGTTTCCCAGTTTGAAATCAACTAGCAGGACCCCAGAGGGTTTCTCAAACAGCTAACCATTAAAGACAGTCAGGAACAAAGATCAATTGAAAACACATTTAGAGTTAAGCTTCCTGGCCTGCTTTTAATTTCTTTGAATCAGCATTGGGAGTTATTACCGTGGTCAGTCTGGCCTTTTATTGTCCTATGGCTTATTCGTATAAACAATTAACTTCAGGGATGTCCAACAGCTTTCTGTGTTTTTTTTTTGTGGTTTTTTTTTTTTTTTTTTTTTTTTTTTTTTTTTTTTTTTTTTTTTTTTTTTTTTTTTTTTTTTTTTTTTTTTTTTTTTTTTTTTTTTTTTTTTTTTTTTTTTTTTTTTTTTTTTAATTATTAATTTATTTTTTTTATAATATTTTCAAATATTCCCAAAGTTATTAAAAGGGTTATGGTTTTAAATGCAGAAGGCATTAAATAGAATCATGTTATTAGAAACAGAATATATTTATGAGTGTCAAGGGAGTTTGCAAGAAATTCACTTTGCAAGCAGAATTTGGGTCATGGCACCTTAAAGCTTCAGTAGCTTTCTTGAGTCTGGGATCTGGATTTGTGGCAGCCTGAAATATTATTTCTGTTTGGATGGAGCTATACAGGCACAAAAGGATATATAGCTCCTAAGGGTTTGCAGTTCAGATAGAAATCAGGAATAGTCAGTGGTTTGGCTGAGCTTACTAATGCCTTAAGGGACAGGAGGGGAATCCTAAATATAGTTTGTAGCAACCTCTGGGCAATAAAATGACTGAAACACCTGCAGCTCTGTTGATGGCTGTGCTGATCTGTGGAGTCTTTCTCATGTGTAAGGTGCCATGCTACTGTATTGCCACCAGAAGTGTCGTACCAAGCACATAATTTTGTTGCAAGTGTTGCAATAACGGCTGGGTTTGGTTTTGTGTCTTTTTCTGACAAGCTGCTGTGGTCTACTCTCGCAGTTTTGGTGATCATTAGGGTATTTGAGTGTTGAAAGCTGAATGCAATACAGCATCACTATCAAGAAGATAATAATAATGGAAACACAAACATACATATGTTAGATGTTATATATGTTAGAAAAAATATGTTGGCAAATACATTGCAGTGCAGACACACTCAGAATAGCTACACAAAGCTCTGTGTTAGCACAGCAGCCTCCCTGGACGAATACACCCTTCACAGTGGGGCTACTTAATTTCTGTGCTCAGTCAGGTATATTGTTTCCCATCTGAAGCTGACCTGCTCAGGTACCACAGCTATTGCTGTATGGCAACGTTTGTAATGCAGGCAGGTAACTTCACAGAAGGACAAGCACTTGGGAACAAACAACACCCCCAGCAGAGATCTCAGGCTCTGAGTCAGTATGCTGAATCTTTTTAAGGGAATAGCATCAGTGATAGCTTGAATATAGAACAGGGTATTCACTTTGAATAATGGTAGCCTAGAGCCAGCTAATCATATTTGCTGGGTGGTTTCCCTAAAAAGCAGATGTTGGACAGATGGTAGTCAGATGATCAGTCATGCCACCATCTACAGTAAATCTGAGGGCTGTGGGGAAAAAGGTAATGTGTGGAACACACTTCTCATTTCTATGGGAGCCTTGTACTTTTTGTACAGGTATACAGAGGCTCACAGAAATGTAAGAGTTGTTGGTTGAGAACTGTGGAACTGCTGTAGATAGCTGGCTATAGAAAGTTAGCAAAGCTTCATCTTGATGTACTTGTTACCCTTGGGTGACTGAATCATATAACAGAACTCTCCAAATGTGATGAGACTGTTTGCTAGCCAGAGTTTTGCAGAAACCTGTTTTGGGCTGGAACACTTCTTGGTTCTCTTTTTGTTCATTTTCCTTGAGAACTTCAATATGCTTTTCTTTCAGCATACTTTCTCATGGCAGTCCTCTGCTGTCTTCTTGTGTGTTGATAGCATTGGAACAGCATCCCTTCAGCTGAAAATTTTATTTCAATATTCTGTTGCAATTGAGGTACTCAAGCAAATACAACTGTCTCTGTAGATATGACTTATAGCATAGTCCAGTATCTAACAGGGCTTACATAAGGCAATGTTCAGCCTTTATCATCTTTGTTCAACATGGGAACTAGAAATGTATTTCCTGTGTAATAATAAGCCTTTCCTAAGACATAATTCTGACCATGGTTTCATAACTGTACTGATTTTAATGTATCGTAATTGTTACTGAATACATTTGTTTTGTCAGCTGAAATCAAATTGCAGGACACATGCTATGCAAATAGAACCATGGTGCTCAATTGTTTTAATGTCCAGTTTGTGTCACCACAGGAGAAGTTCTTCTGGGTTTTGGGTATACCTTTTGCAAAGGTTTAAACACAGCTCCATTAAAATGTAATCTTTGGTTTCCATTGCCCTTTAATCAAATACAAACCAGAGCTTCCAGGGATTGTAATAATGCATCAAGTTGAATTTGGCACTTTTGCAGCACATCAGAAGAAGTTGCCCTTGACAAAAACAATATTTTAAATATCTGCTCACAAGCACTGGAGCCAAAAGGTTGTTATTTCATTTGGCAAAATACCTTCCCAAGAACAAGACTGCGACCTGAAGCAGAGCCAAAATAAGCTCTAACAGATGCTTAGCCTAGAAAGCAGTAGACTGAATGGCTAAAATTGTTAAAAGAGGATATAGGAAAAGGGAAGGGCAGCTACCTAGCTCTGCTTCTGACTTGCTGTGTGGGCAAGCTACATCCCTTCTGTTGTAGTGCTCTGCCAACTAGAGGACCTATCTCCTCTGCTTGTCATCTCACTTCATCTTCTGGGGCTTAATCCACATCTTGCTGTGAGTACTGCTGTGGTCAACAACAGAGCTGCTTCTGTTCATAATAGCAGAGGAGCCTAATTTTGTTCTTTCCTGATAGACTCTGTTTAGC